GGCACCCCTGACAAAGATGCATTAAATTGATCTAAAGGGATATTATGTTAGATAAAAATAAAAAATGTTGCTTGACCAGTAGTGTACAAATCACATGTCCTTCTATTTTCTCTTTAGCTCTGTCTGCCATGTTTGAGTCACACTCCCAGCCATCCATAGATGTTGATAGTCAGGAGACCCCAGTGTCCACCCCAGTCCAGCTGAACCAACCGACTGCAAAACCCGTCTGGTGTGAGTATACCTCACTTCACCATGATATATATCAACGCACCACCATCTCATAACCGTCCTCCACAGTATGTTTTTTAGTGGGGGAAGGAACATTGAGGGGACTTTCAATGGTCATTATTAGAAGAGATGTGAAACCCTGTATTTGCTGCAGAAGTAGATAAGTCATCGAGTTTATTATATTTTTTAACTCTGACATTTAGATGATTACTGTTGGCTTTTAATGCTGCCGTTTCCCCTGAGAGTTTAGTGATTTATGTGCAGTCTGGGCTTTAGCAGCAGCTTTCAGTAAAAATCTAGGTTGCGTTAGTCACTGCTATGTCTGCCTCTTTGCAACCCATTTACTATAATATCATTGTTTGTGAAAGCAGGGCCAGGAACATGCTGGAAGACAAATGTATCTCTTAGATTAATAGTGTAATTGTTCTGTTTTTGGTTACATAACATTAGTTCCATGAGGATTTTTATGTAGGGCTCTACAGAAGGATATCGGTTATATAAATGTGGTCATGTGAATGATGATTGATGAAACACATACTTAGAATCTGCCAACAGGTTCTGGTTTGGCAAGAATAGATTCATTAAAGGGTCGTGTGATGCTTTTTAATGTTTTCTTTGATGTACCTGTTCGTGCATGTATAAGATCTGCAAATTTACAAAGCTCACAAACGCTTCGATCCAAGTCCAGATATTATAACCTCAAAGTGCCAAGTGAAATGGCAAAAAAGATTTAATTAATTTAATTTAATTGTTTGTTGAAAATCTCTTTTATGCAACGAACCTCTAACTCTGTGTATGTTTGTGTGTGCAGACACCGGTGAGCCTTCCAGTACGGTATCCAGCGCTGGGCCATCGTCTCCATCTGTAGCAGAGTCTTCATCCAACTTCGGATTCAATGAGTAGATTTCTTGGAAACACTTTTGATCAGTTTTGCAGAAAGATCGACTTTAAGATTGATATGGTCCTAGTAATAACTTGTAAGCTGCTAATATCGTGCTATCTGCACTTCTGGCTGAACAATAGAGAGCTACTTTGGCCGAGATTCATCAGTTGATAGTTTGATCTGTCAGCAAATACAGCTCTGGAACCAGTAATTAGCTCTTCCGTTGGAGTCGGATAGTAATTATGATCCCAGATTCAGTGGCAGAGAGACAGACATTATAGACAATAGCAATTGTCTGTGCTTCTTTTTTTGTCACCCCACACCAATGTAATTACACGGCACAGAATAATGCAACTCGAATAAATACCCAAAGGAGCAAATAGACCAATAAGACCACACGAAATATGAATATTTAATACCAGCCGAGTAAATTTAATTCTACCACTCTTCTTTGGTTTGTGTATATTAGAATTATTTTATGATTTTTTTTTTTTTTAGATGTTTGATCATATGATTTATTTTCAGATTTGAAAGAAAATTGCTGTATTTTTATTCTATGAAATGCAAAAGGTATTGTTTGGGAATTAATAAATGTGTGCCCAATGAGCTGCAATAGATTTTTTCGAGAATGTTTAGCAATCTGCTGTTGTGTTTACGCTGTAAAGTTTAAGTATTTTTAATTTTAGAGTAATTGCATTACTTAATAAAATTGCTGTAATGTGTATTTGTGTGTGGTATTATGTTTTATGAATGAAAGGCACGGGTGCTTCAGAGAACCACTGACTTATACCTGAACATTTTTGTTGGTCTCTCAGACTTCAAATTTTAAAATTCAATCTGTGGTGTGTCTCAAAGGGAGTGAAGCAAAACAATAATGATGACTCATGCTTTGCTCTCAGCTGTGCTGCTGTGTTGCTATAGGGACGGATTCTCATCTGCTTATTGACTTCAACTGTGAGACTGCAAAGTAAAGTGTGTGAGAAGTCATCACAGGCAACCTGGGATCTAAAGATGAAGTCATACTGTGCTGCTGTTAGCTCATTATCATTCATGTGGGGACACATGCTAAACGTTCAGCATATATTTTCCCAGAGGGACCTGATGGAGTGGAATAGTGAAATAAAATTCAGAATCGGGTATTTGAAGTGATTTATATCATCATGCGTATTGACTGCCTAATTTGAATTGGATAGTAGCTGCATAGTTCATTTAAAGTTAACAATTTATGTGTGATATAAATTCTGACAGGTTATCGAGGCTATTAATCAGGTTTGAAAGACAATATCATAAATTGCTCCCACCTCTCTGCTCTAAAATCTGGCCTGCTGGTCACCGCTGGTTAAAACATGTCGTCATAGCAACAGCTCGAGTCCAGTACTCAGCGACGGTGAGCTCGCGAATTAAGAAGTGTGTCATCGGCCGGTTCCCGGAGACTGAGAGGCTTACAACCACTTCAGCTCCTGCCAAGAGATTTTGGAAGAGCTGTGAGTGTTCAGTTAGTATATTAGTATGAGGTAATGGACTTGTTAAAGGAGTAGTTCACTTTTTAAAAAAAAACTTTTGCTGATAATTTACTCACCCCCATGTCATCCAAGATATACATGTCTTTCTTTCTTCACTCGAAAAGAAATTAAGGTTTTTGATGAAACATTCCAGGATTTTCTCCATATAATGGACTTCATTGGGAACCAAAGGTTCAAGGTCAAAATGAGAGTTTCAGTGCAGCTTCAAACGGCTTTAAACGACACCAGACGATGAATAAGGGTCTTATCTAGGACCCTTCGAGTCACGACTCGAAAAAAGATTTGTTCGTTTTGATAAACGAGTTCGAAAACAGGAGAGTCACGAACGCTCATTACAGAACAGAGCAAGGCGAGCATTTGTGCTTATAAAACTTAAACTTTTTTATTTATTTTTGAAATGACCGATCGTTTTGCTTGATAAGACCCTTATTCATCGTCTGGTGTCGTTTAAAGCCCTTTGAGGCTGCACTGAAATTCTCATTTGGATCTTGAACCGTTTGGTTCTTATTGAAGTCCATTATGCAAAAAAATCCTGGAATGTTTTCATCAAAAACCCTAATTTCTTTTCGACTGAAGAAAGAAAGACATGTACATCTTGGATGACATGGGGGTGAGTAAATTATCAGCAATTTTTTTTTTTTTTAAAGTGATCTACTCCTTTAAGAGAGAGGAGAAACTGTTGAATGCTGTCTGTCTTCAGCCAGATGTTATCGGAAATTTTCTAACGTGATTACGAGCTCGTCGCAGTGACGTGTTTTGTTGTTGGAAGGATCACGGAGGACACCTTTATTCTTTATTTTTAGGGGAAAAAACAATAATATGTAGCGTCCGGTTTTAATAAAGATTAGCGGTTACAGCAGCTAACGTTATCGTTCTCCCCGACGCCATGTTCAAAATGTATAATCCGTCCACTCGGTAACTTATCAAAATGATCAAGTTCCCTGTGGTAACTCCGATTTAAGAGAGGGTGGTTCATCTTCTGAGATTATAAAAAGTAACATTCAGATGGTTGTTGCAATCTTTTAATATCTATTTTTTGTATTGTTTTTAATCTATCCAATTCAATATTTTCTCTTTACTAACCATATGTAATGTCTTATGTATCCTGCCTCCCTTATAGTGAGGCTGAGGAAGAAGTTTTCATAGTTTCATCCCTGTAAGGCCCAGCTGAAACAGTCAAAAAAGGCAGAGAGACAACAGTAAGTATAAACTGATTAACACTTGATGTAACTTTTTTAATAGATATGCTGTTATTAATAATTTGTAGTGAGTGTTTTCGGGGGTGACATTACTGTTATTTTGCAGTTGCAGGAGACGAGGTCAACCGAGACAAACGCATAAAGAGCATTGTGAAGGACAGAAATGGTGGAGCTCAATGTAGGATGAGGAAGATGTTGCTAATGTGGATGCATGCAGGAGCTACAGTGAGTAATGGAATCTGCAGGGGCACATCATTTCATGTGTTATTTACTGCTTTTGTTTGAAATCTTTGACTGAAATGTTATATTGCATAGGTTGGGCCATCACCCAGCTGTAAGGGTTTTGGTAGGGATATAACCAACCAAATCACTTTGCTTTAAGGGTTTTAGTTGGGATAGATTTCAATTGAATCATTTTTGAGGACTGTCTGTGTGCTGGTTTGGGGGTGGGTTCAAAGCAACCAATCCATGTGTGAATTTCCTCTGAAAAAATGCCTTAAAGCCAGGTGCACTCTGTATGATTTATAATAGTCCTTTTTTTAATGACTGTTGCTTGTCAGACTATGAACATGAATAACGCTATAAGCCATGCCACACTGTAGGATCTCAGTTGTCATTCATGTCAGACTGTACAACAGTCAAGATGTGTTAAAAAAGGACTCGTCTTAAGTTTTACATCATCAAGCCGCGACGTTCGGTGACTTTGAACAAACCAGGACTGTGCGTCAGATCTTCAGACAATGGCAGAATTTTTTGGGAGGTCAAATTTGATCGCAAAGGTCATTAATCGGCTATCGGCGAACATATCAAACTAGTGATCAAAGATTTCAGATTTTACCCTATAGATCAGAGGAACCTATTAGGATTCTAAACATTTGTCTCAAACAGCCCAATCGTACAGTGTGAATCCCCGGCTTTAAGGGCTTGCCATGGCAACAAATGGCTTTTGCATGCAAAAATATCTCGATACTATACTGTACATTTGAATTGGTATCATTTCGGCAAATTCCCATATCTGGTCAGTAACACTCCCAGATTTGACCAAAATTCTGCAGTGGTTATACTGGTCCATATACACCTCTTTTCATGCAGCGTTTTTTTAGTCAACAGTCTGACAAGTTAATTGTCAGTGGAAAAAAAAAAAAGACAAAACGAACCACACAGAAAGACTTTTCCAAATGTTTGTTTTTTTTATTGATGATCACCAGGATGGTTCCCTTTACAGCAAATCAGCGGAAATCTACTTTTGCGTTGAGATTTTAAAGACAAAATGTTGAATATTGCACTAAAGAAGAAGAGAACTAAGATTCATATAGCGCCAAAGAACGAGGAAATATCACAGCATCTTCTCAACAACATCTTAGGGTAAACAGAAGCCAAGCCCATTAATATATGCATATTTCAGTACCATAAAGACAATTAGCTTCAAATATATCTTCTTAAAATAGTTTTGTTTTAATTCTGATCATTAAACGATTACATTCAGGAGTATAACTAATAAGGTCACATGCAAAGATGGATGTGTTATGCATGACATATGGCCAAATGAATCCATCACATGATGAAGCGGAATGATATTGAACTAATAGAGATTTGTAGAGGTACTTTAACTTTGCAGTCTTTTTTTACCTTTAGGAAATTAGAATTACAATAACCATAGAACTTCCTAAAAAGAAAGCGTTTCACATAAATGACCACGTCAGCTATATTGAATTATATGTACAGGTTCAGGTTATGCCATTTGTTTTGATTACTATTTTGGCATTTCAAGTCATTGTAAAGGAGGAAACCTTACGTCTGTAGTGTATTCAGTTTTCAGTGTGTAGTTGGTAGCCCTCTGCAAACCAAAGTTGTTGAATCTTATTTTTAAGAGAGTTCTGTAATTGTATTAAAATCAGCAATAGCTGAACATGTAATATTTTGTCATGAGTCATTCACCATTCTAACCACGATTCCTTCGGTGATCCATTTTCTGAGGTCACTGTTCCATGTGCATATTTTGCTAGTTCTTTGTTTTGTTCAAGAAGCATCCAGCAAAGCAATTTTTACATTCAAAAATATTATTTAAAGTTAGTGCATTCATCTTTAACACAAAACTATTTTTGTGTAAAGAAATCACAGCTAATCAACAAGACCATATAGTACTTGTTACTAAGGCCAGTTATTTGAAATAAAACATTTTCAAATATGAAAATATATCCAGACCGTACAGTACAGTACATATTCAGCCTATTTTAACATAATCCTTCAAGCAAAAGAGGAAAAAAAAGAAAAGATTTTGGTCTCAGTGTGGGTTTCATTTGTGCAGACCAGTGGGATTAAGTACTAGACTGTATATATTAAACCAATAAACTAGTTTAATTTTCAAGGCTACTGTCTTTTAGAGGCCCTAGGAGTCAGTTATTTGACCACCACTGTGCGTTCTGTTAGTAAAAGTACACTAAGGCCCTGTCACTTTGACAACTTTTCTGAGTAAACTAAATCTATATTCAAATAACACAATATGAAGTCCACTGCAATGCTAAATACTGACTTTTAAATTAAAAAAAAAGAAAAACATCTAGACAGAATAAAATCAGATCCACTCATTGTAAATATACTGGATTAAGGTAAGGGATTCAGTGTTTCAGAGCTTGCTTTGGAAAATGGTAGATGAGGGCACTGCTGCCTTGAAAGCAAGGCTATTTTCAAGGACAAAACAATCGTGCATTTACCAATGAGGCCATTTACCTAGGACTTTTTTCAGTTTCAAATGAGTAAGCCAATGATAGACTGCTAATACATTCTTCCTGCCTTTTTTGTAAATGGTGTGATTTCAGGTTAGTTTGAATGACTATTTTGCCATCATTAAAAGAGATAAGCTCCATAAAAACACCAATGAATTTATTAAAACTAGCTCTGTTTTCAATAACTCACCTTCATACAGTTTAATATAGTCTATCCACGTTTCCACTGTCAGGTTAAACCGTTCTCGTTGCTTAACCGTTCATTCCGTGCCAATCCACCCCTACCGGTACGGATATGGTTTTATTTTCCACTGTGGGGCTGATAACAGCTCTTTGGAATGTAATACAATCCAAGAGTGGCCAATCCCGAGTGGCCACATCATTACACGCACGTAGCACCAACCTTGCTGAGAACGGTTTGTAATCATGCTGTGCTGAACCAAGCTCAAGTGGAACTGTTTCCTACTGTTCTCAGAACCGTTCAGCTTGACGGTGGAAAACCGGCTTAGTCAGACAAAATTAGCTTTTTCAAATAAATTAATATTACTTAATTATTTACATGATGCCTGTCTACCAAACTTACTTCATTTTAGAAAAGTGCAATCGTACTTGGTGCAGCAATGTTATCATTATAAACACCTGCTGCTCTTATAATACTCAACTTGTCATTAAATCAAAACTGTAATAACTATATTAGCGTAAACTTGAAGTAAGGCTATAAAGAATTTCTAATTCCAGATAATACAATACACAGGAGTATTGTGTTTATATAAACCAAACGTCTGTGTAATGACTTCGCATTTTCTTCGTCAAACAACACGCAAAAGGCACACGAGGGTTACCCTCACTGTCTGCTCTCACAACAACCATGAAATCTATCTAATTCTATTTATTAGTCTCTCTACAACAAATGTCTCTATTGCTACATTTTGATGTATAGTTTCATTTCCACCGCCAGTTTCCATTTAAACCAGTTAAACCTAAAGTGCATGTCGGTAAGGGAATCTCAGCATGGGGGGAAAAAAAATCTGGTCAAGTACTGTATAACAGCCAAACACAAACAAAACATTCAGCAAGTTACAAGTCTGGATCCTCCACATTAAAATATAAAACAGATTAAGTTGATCCTAAAGTGGCCCCATTTAAATTTCAATCATACTTTGATGATTCTATATAAAATTATCATAACAAAATCACTCAAGCAAGAGACCATCATGTAACTGAAAATAAAATACAATTTCTATCTGACTCTAATGGTGGTCTACTCAAATAATGGACAGATGGGATGCTCGTTATTAGTCAGTTTTTGAAGAGAAAGGTGGAGCCAACAGAACCCCTGAATGGATCCCTTGATTAATATACCTACAAAGTTTAGTCTGAAGAGCATCATGCTTTAGGAAGGTAAATGCCAAATAAACACAACTGTTATTCTATAACCTTCTATAACCAGTCATATTTTCATATCAGAGCCTATTCAACCAAGTTCTGTCATATTAGTGAATTGGTAGTTTGTAAAGATGCCATCTACTTTGCGTTACTCTTAAAAGCATGTACAGTCTTCACTACTATCACACTATTGAGATAAAACTATTTTGGATTGCATGTTTGAGTAAATAATGATCCATCTCTTGTCAACTAAAGGACATGAATCTTGGATTATTGTTGATTTTTTTTTTTTTAAATCACCATTTGAAAGAACTGAGATTTGGCACAAAACCTCTTTGGATTAGCAATTTAGAGTACAGTTATTTCTTTCTTCACTCTATATGCTGGTATGTGATCTCATGGAGAGTCTGTGTCTTGGCTCATTGTAATAGTAGCTCACAAGACAGAACTGTTTTGAGTCTGTTCTTGAAGGTATTTGCTCTAAGGCCATGTGACCTTATGTTTAGAGTATTTTTCCCAGGCAACTGTGTCTATATGTAGCTAAGATGCGGAACATGAATCAGATGGTGCATTAACCAACTTACAGAGGGCATTTTTTGTGCTTCGAAATTCAAATTTCAGGCAGGACAAAATCTTGGTCTCTTTAAGTTATGTTAAAGAATATAAGTAAACTCAATTTGCAATGTAACTTCAGCCTACGTTGAACATTATATTACTATTTCATAGCAGCTAGCTAGTGAACATTCCGTTTTCTGCCAAAGCCTCGCAGAAGCAATCAAAAATGTACAATAGATTCAGGACCAAAGCTTACATTAAAGTCCTTTGACAGCACTAGGATTTTGTTGCATTTTAAGGATTAGAATATCAACTATAAATATTAGCGGACGGAAGGCTGTGGGTGGAGTAACTCATCTAAACCTAAAAGATTAAAAATGAATGAGGAATGAATGGCAAGCTTTAAAAAGAAAAAAACAATTCAAAATTCTATTTTGCAGGCAGGGAAAGATTCATCTTGCATGACCACTGTGCTGCTGCTGGCCAAGACCATTATATTCAGGTCCTGCTGTTTCTCATGGGTCTGCTGATACCAGTCCCGAGTTACCTCTGTGTCATGTGTAGGGATTAAAGTGACCTAAATGAGAAGAAGATTGTATAAGAGATAATAAATATAGAAATAAAAATATATCCCAAAAAAGTAGTATTTTGGAGTATTACCACAACAGAGTAATGTAGTTTTTAATGTAAAGTCAAATGGTACCTGGAGATTAGTGCCCCATTGCGCTTTCCCTTCTAGGAGTGCATCTAAAACTGCACGACTGGGTTCACCACTGCCTGGATCATTTCCACTGACGACGTAGTATGCTGCTCGCACTCGCTTGAAGAACTCTTGATCAACATTTTTAGCACTGCAGTGGTTGGGAATGTAAGCTAGGTCGACATAGATGGATGGTCCAGGTGGAGTCCCAGTGCCGGATTTCAGGTTAGAGCCTAAAAAAATATAACATTTGTTATTTGATATTTGTCTGGCTTATACCGATATTTATTTTTATGTTATGTTCGATAACCAATAAATGGACAATATAAAAAATGTACTAGTTTGTCTAAATAAATGAAAAACAATGCATTAAAAACTTTAAGGCATCACAGCATTAGAATGTACAGTATGAAAAACATTAATTTTAATATTTGCTAAAGATTTAAAACTTAACAGTATTATGAAATAGTGCTTTTGAGTGTTACATGACAACAAAGGTCATTTAAATGTAAAAATGCCAGCTAAGTATTCAATTTAGATCGAATTAAATCGAATGTCTCATGCATCCTGATAGTTGTACCTGCATTACTCTTAACACCATTAACCAATCCTCTTCCTGGATTGTATATGTCTCCCCTGGATCCCTGTGTCTCAGACATTTTGGACAAGCGAAGAGTCTTCTCTGAATCTTTTCTTTTAAGAGCATGAGGGGAGGAGTCTTTGGATGTCTGCTTCACAGGGGTAGTAGATCTCCTGCCTTTTGTATCTCCTTTACGTGACGGCGATGCAGATTTTCCCAGTGTCTTCCTCAAGCCTCTATTTGTTTTAAGGTCTTTCTTCACTGGTCGTTCTGTGTGGGTCTGGCCATTAAGAAGGGCCTCTGGGTCCACCATGCACACATCAGGGTGTGGTGGGTGAGGAAGAGGGTCTTTCACTGGCATGGGAGGGGGATCATGACTCCTCGGAGAGGAGGAATGATGGCTTCCTCCGCTGCTACCAGCTGCAGACGTTTTGTCCACTGGTAGATGTTCTGCATCTTCATCAGAGTCTAGGTTTCCTTCTGCCGTAATTGATGGACATTCTTCAGTCTCTGGAGGAACATCTGAGTCAGACTGAGATGGGAGTGACTCGCTCAAAGATGTAGGAGGAGTTTCCTCCCCTGCTAGCATAATGCCGTGCCCTGTCGCCGTGCTGCTCGGGATGCTCTGCGATCCCTCCTTGCTTTCCTCATGGCGACTGTGGGGACGACAATGCTGCTGCTTGTGGGATCTCCTTTTGACAGAGTGCTGCTCACGCTCATCATCTCTTGAATGATCACTTCTGACATCTTCCTCTTCCTCCTCACTTGATAACCCCTGTGGGCTTGGATTAATAAAGGATGGCGAGATATCTCCTTTACGGTGTTTGAAAAGCGAAGGTGAATGGGAGGATGTGGTCTCCATTGCGAGATCAGTGGGTCGAGTGAATCCTTCATCTGACTTCTTGGAGACCTCAGGGTAACAAGCCTGTGCTCCTGATGGTGGAGTTGGTGGATGTTCTTTTGAATCATACTTTACTTTCTCCTCTTCAGCCCGTTCTTCCTCCTCTATACCTTCATGAACATCTTCCCCATAGCCAGGTGGAGCCTTTAGACATACAACATCTTCATGTTGCATTGTGGACGCAAGGGTAGTATGCTGGCTAGACTCAACTGTATTTGTTTTTTTGCTGTCTTTTTCCATCATTTTTTCTACTGTTAGCTCTTCATTCCCTTCATTTTTCCCCTTACATTCCTTTTCTACAAACATTTCCGTTTGTTCTACCTCTTTCTTTACTTTTGACTCTTCAGGTGTCCCTTCACTTTCGCTCTTTTGCTCTGACTTCTTGCCACAATCTAGGATCTCTCCCACCTTTTCTGACCTCACTCCAACCTCCTTTTCAGAATGTATCTGTTCTTTCTCCATTGTTTTATGCTTTACGTCTTCTTTCTCATCTGTCTTACTCTTCTCCTCATATTCCATCTTGCTCACTTTTGCTTCTTTAATTTCAACCCTCTCCTGTACTTTCTCAGCCAAGTCTTTAATTTCATCAGACTTCTCTGCCCCTTCCTGCTTCATATATTGTTCACTTAATGTGCTAGTACTGAGAGTCCCACAAGCTGTGACTGGCACCTTCTGAGAACTTGTAATTTCTGTTGGTCCATCTGTTGTGTGCAGATCAAATGAATGTAATGTTGTGGTTGAGGGTTTTACGTTAGTATGTTGCTCTGGTAAAGACGCTGTGCTTAATTTTTCAGTAGCTGAAGATCTCTCACACTCAATTCTGCATGGCAAGGTTCCTTCCTCAAAATTACTTTCGTTATCTTCAGGCTCATCTTCAGAGGATTTTTCTTGTGAGTGTTTTTCTGCAGAGTCAGCCTTTGCCAGAGGTACAATGTCAAACTTGAGGGATGTGGAAGATGCCAACTCAGTTGGGTGAGTTGCATGCTCAGAAGTTGCTGATTCTGGCAGTTTTGAAGAATGCGTTTCTGCTACATGTTTAGGATCAGAGACTAGATCCCTGTCAGATTTAATGCTAGACATATCCTCCTCTGACTTTTCCTCTGCAGATGATGTTTGATCTTGAAGAAACGATTTAGATTCTTCCAGGGGACTTAGAGGAGAAAACCTGGCAAGACTGGATATTGACTCAGCTGTTGTTGTAGCAGGTGTCATTCGATCTGAGACTTCCATATATTCATCTTTTTTTAAACAAGGCAAATCCATAACAGGTGACTCTTCCTCTCTTAGGGATGAGTACTCAAATGATATACTGTCTCCATCAGACCTTAGTTGGACACTAGGGAAAGTAATCTGTGGTTCTAGCCCTTCTCCAAGGTGTTGACCAGTTGAATATGAGGCAGAGGTTGAAGAAGAGTAACTAAAGGATGAAGATGATGAGCAAGTTGTTTCAGACATGGTTGCTTGAGCAACAGCTATGGATTCAGACACTTCACACTTTTTATCAGAAGTTTTCTGTGGTTCATGTTTGTCATCGCTGGATTTGGGTATGTCAGATAGGAATGAACAAGTGTCTTCTTTCTTGGACTCTTCATGCTCCTTGTTGATTGCATCATGAGGCTCTCCATGTGCTGATGATGGCTTTGCTGTGGGGGATATTTTTTCTGTGTATGAGTCACCAACCATGTCTGTCTGTAGAACTTTTGCAGTTGCTCCAAAAGCTAAGGAACCAGTAGTGTCTTCTTGTTTTGTTTCGAGTGGTTTAGATGTAGTCGCGGTATCAAATGCTGCTTTAGACTCTTTCTCAGACATCTCTCTGGCACCCTTTTCAACATCCAAGTCACTTGCATTTTCCTCATCCTCTTCCTCATCCTCATAGTCATCCTCTTCTTCTGCAAATATTTTTTGGCTTCTGACCAAGCATTCCTCTGTCTCTTCACTCACAATCAGTGTCTTGCTGGAAAGAGAATCTGTTTTGCCAGTGCACTCAACTGCAAGAACATTGTCATCAACTTTCATAGACTGCCCTGAAGAACCAGGAGTGGCGGTACTAGGATCTTCAGCCGATAACCTGGCAGGAAGCATGTCCTTTTCAGGTGGTGAGTACCGACCAGAAGAAAATGTGTCATCTTTGCTTTCAGCTGAATCCAGTTTGTTTTTATCTTTGTTACCATGACTTGATATTGGACTCTCCATTTTGTTCTCATCGTAGGCAGATGTTGATGAAGTTGTTCGACTCTGAAGACTTTGATGTTCTGATGATGTGAGAGGGCCTTGTTGAGGGGAAGCTTCAGTCACGTGGGTTTTGGTCTTGTCCAAGTCCTCTGAATGAGACGTTTCCAATATTTCCTCTGTTTTATGGTCTTTCTCTTGCGTATCAGATTTTGAAAGACAGGAAGCAGATGTACATGGTTCTTTATCCAACAATTGAACATGACTCTCATCATCTTTTCCTTGAGGAAAAGGTGTGACCTCTTTTTCCTTCTCCTTTTCTTCTCTCTCCAATTTCTCTGATTTGTCTTGCAAATCACTAGAGGCAAAAGAGCTTGAACCTGCTACCGAAATGGTTTTGCTGTCATATTTAAAACTATTGTCAACAAAAAGATCTAGTCTCTCTGGTCTCTCTTCTCTAACCAATTCTTCCTCTTGGTATCGCTCCTTATTGTCTTGCTCTGAGTAAGCACTGTGGCTGCTGTGAATACTTGAAGTCTGGTAATCAACCTTGCTAAAAGACACTGGCTCATCATCACTTTGTTCCTCTTCTGAACAAGTAGCTCCAAGCAACGAGGCCTGACTTTTTCTATTGCCATCTAAATCTCTATCCAAACTAGGGTACTGGTCCTCTTCCTCTCTTTCTCTCTCAGTGTCTTTTGAAATGGGCTTTTCATAAGGCTCATATTTAGAAGCTTCATAGCTTTCTTTTTCCACTTCATACATCATCTTGTCAGCAGATTGTATTCTTTCACTATCAGCCTTTTCAGCACATTTCTCATCAGCACTGTCAGTCTTTTGAAAAGCAGAATGTGACTCTAACCCTGGAGAGGCAGCTTCTCGTTCTCCTTCCCTTTCCCTCTCATCCTCCTTCTGAAGTTTTGTGGCTTCCTTTTCAGAGATCAATGTTTGATGTGGACTATCCTCAACACGGCCTTGATTGTCGAAGCTAGGCAGTGTGATACTCGTTGGTTTGCTCTCAGTTAGAGTCTCTGTGACAGTTTCTCCAGTTGGTGAAAGTGATGTTGCATCAACCTTGCACTCCTTATCTGGTTTAGTTGATGTGTCACTTGAATCTCTAGTCAACTCTTTCTCTTCTAAATGGGCCACAATCTCCTCTTTTTTCATACTAGTCTCAGGTGGTTGTGCAGAACTGCTTGCCTTTAGTTCCTCTAAATTCCATGGTTCCACTGATAATGGTCTTGAACCAGCGCCTCCCATACAAACAGCATCTCCTTCATCCTCCTCGGTACTTTCATCTTCATCTGAAAATTTGGTTGGAAATGTAGTTTCAAAGGTTGACTTGATGTCTTTTGTTTTGTCTATAATTGAGGTTTCTTCAATGCATTTTTCTTTATAATCTAAGTTCAATTTGAATCCAATGTCTGATGAAAGAAATGTATCTGTTTCATGTAATGATGTGTCATGTTTGATCTCTTCTTTAGGTTCATCTTTCAATTCCAGTGTCTCTTTACAGCTCAGATCCGAGGTCTTAAACATTTGTTCTGAAGATGTATCCAGAGATTTCTGTTTGGCTCCCAAGTCAATTTTTGTGTCTAATTCATCGGACACCAATTTTGACACATCTTCTCTCATTAATTGCTCATCAGACTCTTTGCTAACCTTTGAATCAATTGTTTTATCTACAATGGGAAGGTCTACAGTACCGTGTTCTGATTTTGAAACCACAGATATAGATTCTGATGTAATCTGTTCTGTCTTTTCTTCTCCCACAGATATGGCCTTAAGTTTTTGTTTTGTGTCTGATGGTGCATCTGTTACCCTACTTGTTTGAGATACTTCTGTTACAGTATCTTCTGAGTGTTTTTCTTCATACTGTTGGTCCTTCTTAACACCCATATTGGTACTATCAGATAGTGATTGATCCGTAGATATCTGAAGTTGAGTATGCTCCACATACTTATCTTTAGTTTCATGTGGTTTTGAGGATATGTCTTCAAACTCAACTGGTTGTTCAGATTTGACAAATATGCCTTTGCTTATTTCATCCTCTTTAGCTTGCAAAAGTTCTTTCTCTGATTCATTTATTGACTGGGAGTCGCTCTTCACTACAGAATCAAAATCAGATTTTGAGATGGTAAGCTTATCTGCTTTTTCATAAGATTGGCATTCTGTAGGTTCTTCATCCAATTTGCAAGTTAGCTTCACAACCTCTTTGTTTTTGCAATCCTGTTCATCTTTAGCAGACAAATCTAATTTATCAGATTCAGACAGCAAGACTTGACCTTGGATCAATGCTGGTTCATCTTTAGATTCTTGGTGTAATATCTGGGAGGAATCCATTTTGTCTGAAATGGATATTTGTGTTTTGGATTTAGTGTCTTCTACAGTTTTTTCCATATCTTGGCTAGTTTGGTGCGCTTCATCTGTGTCCTGTGAAATTTGAGGCTCTTTTTTGGATGATACATCTGCTTTTTCTAAATGGTGTGTGGTTTGAGTTTCTTTCAATAGTTTCTCCTTCAAGTCTTCATCTTGTTTACTAGTAATTTCAGTCTCACTTAGGGTTGCCCCTAATATATGAGGTTCCAACTCTTGCACAGACTTTCCTTTAGATTCTTGTTCATCTTTAGTAGATACCTCTGCATGCATCTCTATGGATTGAACATCTGGCTTTGAGATGGAAATTTGCTCTTGTGTAACAAATTCGACTTCCTCTTTATTTTTATCCTTAGATTCTTCATGTTCTTTGGCAGCTGAAATCTTTTTCTCATATGTCAGCCCATCCTCACTTTTACTTTCCACCTTTTCTTCATCTTTTAAGGCAACATCTGTTTTTTCACTTAACTGTTGTATTTGAGATTTAACGCCATCCATGGCTTTACAGATGAATGAATCAGTTTCCTCTGAAGACACAGGTTCAGGTATAATATCAAGTGACTCTGATTTCTGCTCAGAGGTCTTTTCCGGTTTAGTTGTCATATCGGTCTCTACAGTGTCCTGTGTCTCTGTATGAGATGTTGTTTTTGCTTTGATGTCGGGGCTTTCTAAAAACTGACCTGTTGCATCAGTCAGATCTTTCTCTTTGGATTCTTTTACCAAGTTAGAAGAAATTTGGTCTTTCTCTGATTGAATTTCTTGTTTCTCCTGTTCCTCTATCTCTGACCTTTCCAGAACTGCTGGAGAACTCTTATCTTGAAACTCTTCTTCATTTGCATTTTTCTTATCAAAATCCTCTTTAGGCGGCAATGCTGCTTTTTCAGGCTCTGATATTACATCACCTTTATCTGCCTCTGCATACTTTAATAATTGGTGTTTCTCCTTATGCTTCTCTTCAGCATCATCTCTCTCACCATCCTTTTCTTTCTCCTTCTCTCTTTTCTCTTTTTTGTCAGTGGATGATTTTAAATCAGAAGTTTCTTCAACGTCACGATCATCAGATAACTTGGTATCTTTATTCTCAAGAATTACAGCCTTACTGCTCTCTTTTAAGACCTTTTGAACTTCGTCCTTCTTTTCAACGCTTGGATCAGGCATTACCTTTGTATCACTGATTTCTTTTGATGGTAGAATTGATATACTTTCTTTTTTAGCTAAGAATTCCTCAACAAGTGGAGATGGTGCAGAGGTTGCTTCCTGGATTATCTTTTTTTCTTCCTCCTCTGCATGAGGTATTTCTTTCTCATCTAAATGTCAGGTGTTTGTTTCCCACTCTCCTTTTCAAATTTAATTTCAGTGGTGCTAAGTGGCACTCCTTGTTCTTGAAGGGTCTCTTTAAGGGGCATTTTATCGTTCCTTTCCACAGGTGACATTCTGAAGGGAGAGTGAGATGCACTAGGTGGTCCAGAATGTGTAGGAGTAGCCATTTTCACAGTGCTGTCATCAGGGCTAATACACCGGTCTTCCACCTCTTGAAAAACACTAGCTTCAGAAGCGGGAAGCTTAGAATCACTGTGTGATGGGAAAGAGAGTATTGTTTGTACTTCAAAAGATGAATCCTCCCTTGAAGGTGACACCGATGCCTTCTCCATCTCAGGAGGTAAGAATTTTTCATCAGATGAAGTATCAGGAACTAAAGGCACAAGACTTTTGGGTTTGTCCATTTCTTTCTCCTTGTGTTCAAGTTTATCAGGTGAGGCATATCCTTCTTGTAACTTTCCAAGTGAAATGTCAACATTTGGTGTTTGATCTTCATATTCATCCTCCTCTTCATCATCGTAATGAGCAGCCAACTCAATTCCCTCGGTTTTGCCTTCTAAGGGAAGTGGGGGAGATTCATCAGAGGGAGATGATTTAAAGCACTTGTCCTCCTCTAAGGAGGATGTTGGTGAGATGGTTCCAGCGGAGTGTAGGTACTCTTTTTCTTGGGTGGCCTCAGTCTGAGTAACCGGTTGAACGGTGTCCAAGACCAAGGAGCTTTTTCCAGTGTCTTCAGTCTGTGGTGCTGTGACTGACGCCACTGACTGATCTTCTGCAACGGAAGTGGGTAAAGAAGACAGTTTGTCATATTCTGTTATAGATGTTGCTGAAGAAACATGTTCCTCTTCAGCTAATGGAGCTGCAAGTATGCTGGTGTAGATGGAAATAGCTGGCTCCTGTGCACCCATCAATACTTTGCCTGTTCCATTGCCCATTGCAGCTGCTTGTATTTCTCTCATGCCAGGTATGGCATCAAAGGAGCCTGGTTGGTCTGGGACAGAGACATCATAGCTACCAACCTCATATTGAAGGTGTGGTATCCTGTCCTCTGCTTCTTCGTGGATCTCCTCATCTGAGATGGTTTGCTCAGTCTCAGAGTAACCTGGTATGGTTTCATCCTGAATATATGATAAGTTTTCTGCTGCAGCAGCTCCTTGGGCTGTAGAGGTAATGCCAGCTGTGACACCTCCAACATTTGACAAGTATACATCCTCTTCTTCCTTGATTTTTTCAGCAGAGAGATCCTTTATTTCTTCATCCGCAATTGCATCCAAATCCTCTGCCTCCTCTAATTCAGCTTTTTCAATCACATCCTCTTCTTCAAGCTGCTCCTCTTCAACGTCAATCTTTTTCACCTCAGCTTGTTTTTGCTTCTCCATTTCCTCAACTTCATGTTTTCTGTCCACTCCCTCCAAGTCTTTGGATTCTTTTGCTCCCTCTTCATCCTCTTCATCTCCTATTCCCATGTCTTCCTCCTCCTCCTCCTCTGTCTTCTTAACAGGCTTTATCTCAACCTCATCCTCATCTTCATCTTCAATTGCAGCACCCTCATCCTCAAATTTCTCTAATTCTGATGTTTGAGGCTTATCCTGTTCTTTAACTTCTGCTGATGGCACTTCTTCGATTTCTGCTGATAGGGCTACTTCTTTCTCTGTAGTTTCCTTTTCCACAATATCGGTTTCTGTAACATGATCTTGTTCCTCAGCAGTATTTGAAGTTTCATCGTCTCTTTCACCTGGTAATCTGGAGACAGTAAGGGCACTTTTAGGGGCTTCAGAGTGATCTGTCGCTTCAGTAGGTCTCATTTTATTAAAGTCTTTTGTTAAATCTTTAAGTGTAGATGGAGAAAATATAGCTTCTCCTGTCCCATTCTCCTGTTTCTCAATCTTCTCAGCCACTGGTTCTGCCTCAATCTCTGCACTCTCTGCCTTGGCAGTTGTCGGTTTGCTCTTTGTTGTTTTGGATTTACCTTGAGTTTTGGCCTTGTGGAGGGTCTTTCTGACCTCTGGTGTGAAAGGTTTCAGGTCAGGTTTAGTAATTTTCCTCAGCTCGGGTTTTGAAGTGTCCTTGGCTTTAAACTTTTTCTCATCTTTTTTCAAACCATCATCTTTTTTAATTTCACGTTTTTCTTTCTTAACTTCCTTTTTTTCTTTGTCTTTTTTTTCATCCATTTTGGACAACCTTTCCTTTGGGTGTTTTTTCAGTGATTTCTCCTTCAATAACTTTTTCTTTTCTGTCACTTCTGTTTTCGGTTTCAATGGCTTGGTGTGCTTCTTTTCTTCTTTTTTCTCAATCTTGTTCTCTTTGACAGAGTCACTCTTCGTTTCGACTATGGATGCATCCTCATGCTCATCGGTTTCTTTCTTTGGCTTAGTTGGTGCATGAGTCTTGGGAGATGATTTCAGACTTTCTTTGCTGTCAGTTCTTTGCTTTAACTTTGTTTGTTTTACAGCTGAAGGTGAAACAGCAGAATTTATGTCTTTTTGTGTGGCTACTGGATACCGCAAGAAATCAAGGTGCTTCAACTTTTCAAGCCCTTCAAGGATTTTGTTCTGAGGTGCATTTCCAGGAAATAAAACCCTCACAATTTTCTCTGAGGGGTTGGCAGGAAGCCATACGACGAGAGCAGCAATAGATGTCAAATAAGGTACAGATATTTCTCCCTCTTTTCCATTGGGAAGCACTATCCCTGTCTTGGCCTTGCTGTTACCTGCCCACTTCTGCATGAGGAACTGCATTTCCTTACTGTCTTTCACAGGGTTCAGGACAAACATGTCCAACCTGCCCACACCCATCTTGTGAAAAAGTGTAATTGGCTCAATGGTATTACTAACCACTCGAAAAAGAGGCTCAGACTTAATTCCCATCTTGTTGAGGTATTGCAATGTAAGAGAGGCTTCCTCAATACTTCGCTTAACTTTCAAATTCGATTCTGATGTGCGAAGCTTCTCAGGTACATTGAAGAATACGACTCCGATCTCTGGCGATATCAGGTTCTTCATCCAATCACTGTAGGTGGTTGAGCCTTGAGACTGCTCTTCCTCCTGCTCTGCAACCTTCCTTTGAAGGAGTCCATTGATCCCAGGAAGATTATCAGCACCAATATGGGTGAGAAGGATAGAATCAATACGATCTAAATGTCTGACAAGCTTCCAAAAACACGACCTTCTGTCAGAGCCACCGTCGATCAGAATGTTAAAACCATTGACAGCAAAAAGCGCGGAATCCCCCCGTCCACCAGGAAAGATGTAGCAGCAAGGCTTTGAGAGCTTTAAGAATCCTCCAGAGGTTGGAGGCTCAAGAAGGTCAAATGGGGATGGTACATCCACAGTCTCTGATATATATTCGGTAAACTCAGTGACCCCCTCCATCTTAGGGAGTATGGGCTCTGGATTCAGCCGATAATTCAGCAACTCCTTAATGTGTTGCTGTTGTCCCAGAGAGTTCCAGCCTGCCTCACCACGACAAGACACAGTCAGTGATCCCCGCTGTCCAGAGCTGGCTTTAACCAGCAAATTACAGACCTACATGAGGAATACAAGTAAAAAATTAGTGAAGATATATTGTGCTTTATCAATTTGAATACAATTATATTATCTAAACTTACTCCAGGATCAGCAAACACGTGTGAGAAGGTTTGATGACTGAGCACTCCGGTTTGGAGAACCAGGTCACCTTGGTCAGAGCTCTGCCCACTCAGGACCAGTAGTTTATGCACAGCTGGGTCAGATATAAGACAATGGATCTAGGACATATTAAGAGACATAGAGGGCATTTAAAACACATTAGTGTATTGGAGTCAGTCTGTTTGTAGCAAGGTTGTGCTTAAACAAGGTTATTAAGTCCAACATCAAACCTATTCATCAATTTTTATTAGAAACATACAGCACCTTGTCTGACAGAGATTGTCTTTAAATAACTTACCTCAGAGATAACAGTATCTTCTGACGGGTTTACTAATACAACCGTCTCAAGAACATCACTTTTGTGGTGCAAAGTCCTTTGTCCTGGAAGAAAGAAATATGTTTGTTCTTATTTATATTCAGGTATTAGGTTACACATTTCTATTGTGACTAGTCTCGATAGCTGCAATTCCACCACAGGAACTTTACTCAGGAACTAGAGACATTGGAGTGGTACTAGGTGTGTTTTGACAGCAGGGACCATGGTCTAAATGAAGTTCCTGTAAAAATTTCCCCCAAAGAAAGTCCCTGCTCGCGAGGTGGTACTTTAAAAAACGGTTGAAACGCAGCTTTTAAGCCCTTATCATGATTTTCATGATCTAAAACAGATGCAGCATGGAGAGTTAAAGGTCACACAAGTTAAAAGTCATCCTGCAAAGAAAGCTACTTAAGCTTATATAAAGCTTATAGAAAGCTATATACTATATACATTTTTTTATGATTTTAATTTTATCAAAGCTGCACTTTTCTGGCACAAAAGATAAAAGGTTTGAATGAATGAGGGAATGAATGAGGCTATATTTACACGGAAATGATTCTGAATTGAAAACGCAAAAGTGGCGTTGCGTTATCACTTTTTTTTTGCGTTTAGACGAGTGTTTTGGGTGGGAAATCCTCGTGCAAATCATGACGCAAAAGTGTGTGAAATTCAATGTAGTATGCACTCCAGGTGGCTAGGAGTGCATATTACAACAACACCAAGTCCGTGCGCCTGCGTACAATCTTCACTGTCAAGCAGACTTTTGCGTTTTTACTATTTACACGTGAACGCCGCAGTGGAGCGTTTTTAAGATTTTCACTCTGGAGGGTGGTTTCACTTTTTTGCGTTTTTAAGCCCCATAAACGAAAGGCACATCCGATAAAATATTTTTACGTTTTCTGTTCTTTTACTGTCCAAATAAACTGATTCAACTCAATGAATCACACTTTAGGATGAATCAATTCACTAGCTTGAATCAAACTTTAGGACAAACAAATTTAGGTTACTTGTTACTGGGAAAGTGTAACCAAAACTGTATGCCAGTATTCTTATTCATCTAAATGATATTGGAAACTTATTTTTTTATAATTGAAATGCGCAACACAGCACACAGAGCTTACTGCTCCAAACGCATGTCCCGCAACAATGCATTGATTTGTTCATTCGAAAGTCAATGATAGCAGCCATATAATTTATTAATGTTAATCAAAATGAATGTCCCTTAAAGGCATAGCTATCACTCAAATCAATCTTTATTGATTTAGAAAAGAACTCCAAGTGTGTTAAATTTAGTGCAATGCATTTCAAGGACAGTCCTACAAGAGTCCTGTTAATGAGACATCATGGATGTTTGGATTACAGTCAGAAGTAAGGGGTTTAGGGTTTAAAGTGTATATTACGATAAGAGGATATCCATGTGAAGCTAATAGGGAGAAGTCACAAATGCAACATTAGTCTTTACATGGTCTGAAGAGTCCAGTCCAAACACATTTATCCTGTGTTTTCAGTTGTGTAAAGAGGGTTATAAGAGCAGGGTGTATGGAGGAATTAGAGGGATAATCAAAGAGCTGCTGAACGCAGCACGACTGGGGTTTGGACCAAGCTGGCCTAAGCCCAGTATTGCTTTTGTGAGCCAGATGGTGTGGGATGGAAGTACAGAAGTGAAAGTACAACATATGTGAAGACTGGTGAGGCAGATCTCACCAGGATAAAACTGAATGCAAATAATACAGGCTGCCACGGAAACGACAAACTAGTAGCTCAGACCCTGCTGCCCTCAGCAGAGTGACAAAGTACAAATAAACCACAAAGGCATGAACGTCTCAGGCACTGCAATGCCTCGCCATTGGCACAATGCCCAAAAAAACATGGCTCTATTGGATTTTTGTACTTAATACATTGCGTGTTTCCCTCTGTGTTGTTGTTTGATGAAAATCTTAGGAGGAGGCAGAACTCAGAAGATTAACTAATGTAGGTAATAAAAAATGACACTTTTTTGAACTCTTGACAATTAGAATTAGCTGAAAAAAATTAGAGTAATAAAAAATATATAATTATGGATGGATCTTTACAAACATGCAATTAGAAAGAATTTTAAATGTGTATATTTGTTAAATGTGAATTTTGTCAACTTAAAAACCACAAAACTCCTTTGCCATTTTGAATAAACAGATGGTTTTGCAGAGCAGTGTGTTCAGCCAGCGTCCAGTTTCCACGACTCCCTTTGGCACTTTTCCACAGTCGCAAAAGAATGGGAAAGAATGTAGCATTAAGTCCAAGTCCAAGGCTAAGTTAAGGTATCCAGTGTATCTGTTGAAGTACAAGCGTCTTCATAACTGACAGTGTAGAGATCCAGTCCTACCTCACCTGACCCGCTTGGTATAAATATCCACTCATGAACTCTAAAAATTAGAGCACTCTTGTTAAAATAAGCTCAAACAGTGCTGTGATAGAAGACAGACCAAGCATCCGCACTGCTCCAGATATTTTGCTCTAGATATGGTCACCCAAGAGATTGAGGCCTCTGGAAGTTTGGGAACAGAACCGCCTCATCCGAGCATCTAAAACAGTCACTCATGCCACCATCCTATGTGCTTTTGGGAGCAAATAACCTTCTGAACGGCACGTCTTGCTGTGGTACACTGTATTATTGATGCTAAATCTGTTTATCCCAGTGGAACAAGCCATTTAATTCCCATTTCATGTACAGATGACACAGAGGTCGACAATATCAAGACATTTCTTTTTATTTAAAATATGACATGAACATTGATGAAGCATAAAGCGCCACAGGTGTTTGTTTTTATCTAACTAGCTTCTCACAACGGAGAGAATTAATGTTACTTTTAAAGGGCTTATGGTAATCCCATAAATGTGTCATCAATCCAGACTGGTTGAGAGTAGTATGATGGGAGACTTAAAGGCACAGTGTGTAAGTTTCGCAGCCAGAGGTAGTTTTTTTTCAAAAAAGCTTCGATGGGAAGCAGTCGATGGGAAAACAAAACAGGACTCAGGCAGAAATCATGTTAATTGGTGAACTAATATTTTCCTATTATGCTTTTTCGGATTTTACCTTAAAGCTGTAAGCGGTAACCCAATCATAACAGACTGGGCCATCTGCCCAATCAGAGGAAAGTAGGCTCTCGGAAAGGAGGGGTTTAGAGTATGTTATGAAAAAACGAAAGTGTTATTTGACATTTGGTGCATGTAAAACTGTTGTAGAAGGCCTCCAAATCAAATTTAGGAACCTTTAAAATAGCATAATAGGGGCTCTATAAAGTTTTATTAACGTTACTGTAAGAAGCAGAGGAGGGCCGAGAGCACCGGGACATTTTACATTGCTGTTTTTAGTATGCCTATAGGCACGTTGTGTAGTTTATGCATATCCCATAATTCAAGTTACGATTAAAGTTGTTTAACGTTTGCCTCCTTCGTCCCTGAACTTGAATTTTATGTTTGTTCACTTAAATGCACATTATTTTATTTCATTCTATTGAAATAGACGCAAATGTTTAATTTATTACTCGTACAGATCACTTTATCTAACGAATTAAAATTGTGGTGTAACGCTACCGTGTTTTACTTGGTCAAAGCAAACGTATAAATACATTTGAATGTTTTGAAAGTTAACGTTACTCTTTCCGTTAGCTCGGTGGCTGGTATATTATACACATAATATATTTTATGGTGGAGAAAATGCTATATTACTGTTACGGTATGTAAGGCATGGTACGTATAGTTGTCCAAAATTTCTTTGGACTTTGACGCTCCGTGTTGCATCTACACAAGAAGCGAGTGCCCTAGTTTCTTCTGGTAATCCTAGTCCTGTGATTTGGCAGTGCCGAATGATTCTGCTGTTAAGCATATTAAAGCCTCTTTTATCGCAGATGTGTCACTAAGGGCCAATCCCAATTCTACCCCTTACCCCTTCCCTTTCCCCTAGCCCTACCCCTTCGCCTTCCCCTTGACCCTTGAAACAGAGTGGCAATGCGTAGGGGTGAAAATATTCCCCTAAGAAATGGGACACCACTACGCCTCCGTTAAACGTCATTATAAGTCGTCGCTCGCGCCTACGTCACAGGAGATGCGCCGATGTTTATCACAACTTCCAAGATGCCGTCGACAGCTGCAGTTATCTCAGTCGCGTGGGTTACAGCTATTTTCTTGCATCTTGTGAAGTTCGCAGGAAACAACGGAGACGACGAAAATATGTTGCGGGACTATCGTTAGCAAACTACAGTAATTTTAGCGATTTTTTTACAAACGTTTCTGTGAAGAAACTGACCGTAAATATGAACACAATATTGAATGTAACATAAAGCAAATCATTATTTGTCGTTATAATACTTATTAAAGCCACAAATACTTAAATTTATGGTTCTCCTTTGTCGCTTGGGCAGCCAGCCTGGGTTAGCAGTGACACTTCTCATACCCCTTCGTTTGAAGTGTGCTCCCGAAAAATCTTCGTTTGAAGGGCTATCTGGCCCTTCACCCTAGCCCTCCCCCTCCAACCAAAAGAGAATTGGGACAGCCCTACCCCTTCACGTGGACGCGCAAAACGGAGGGGAAGGGGAAAGTGAAGGGGTAAGGGGTAGAATTGGGATTGGCCCTAAATCTCAGACAGCCACCTGGGTAAAGGGTGTGGCAACGACACAATTGCCCCAGCATGTTCTGATATTTTGCCTTATTTGCATGGATTTCTGATATTATCTTTTATACTGGCACAATACAGAGTTCTTTGGTTCACACAACTCAAACATAGTAACATCTGATAACTAGCACAATACTGTAAGTTGGCCGGCCACAAATGGAACATAAACGAAGCAGCATATGCAAAATAATTTTCATTTTATAAAAATGATTGCACACATTACATTAGACATTTAAGTATTTATTACATATAAATTTTAAGTTGGTGCATTGTGAAAAGAGCACAGATGTGGGCTAAGAAGGAAGCAAGTTTTAAAGAAAGAAAAGGGTACGAGAAGATTTTTGGTGCTGTACCACTGTTTCCTGGGGGGCCAGAAAACTCCAGCCTAAACCTGAGCCAACTATGAGATCATGC